TATATCCTTTAAAAAAAAAAAAAAAAGTGGGTGTTTATTTCAAAATTTAATTTTTTAAAAGTAAAAGTAAGATGAATACACTAATGTTCTGGTAATATAGAAAGTAAGTAATATGATGAACTTTAGATGAGCAGACACAATTTCTCTGTCCACAATGGATGGCCATCCCCTGGAGGGCTTTCCATCTGGTATCTCTCCAGCAGAGGCCATTGGGGAGTAACTGCATTTGTAAGCACCACAGTGACTTAGATGTAGTTGGCCCTGGCCCACACTTTAAATACACTGGTGTAAAGCCAAGTTTGTTCTTGAAACCTGCAGAAACTGTTTGGTTTCAAACTGCTCTCCACTAACTGACTGTGTGTGGATCCCCAGATTGACCACGCTTCACCTTTTCCAGACATCTTGATCATTGTGGTGGGTAATAGTTAAAGTCTCTTGTCAAAATAATGTTCTAAGAAAAAGCAAATAAATAAAAACTAATGTTCCAGTTACTTGCTAGCCCAGAATCAAAAGGTACACTGAAAACAACTTTCAAATATTAACTCAGCTCTAGCGTAGTGGTTACGAATTTGAAACTACCAGCTGTTCCGCAGGAGAAAGATGAGGCTTTCTGTTCCCATAAAGATTTATAGCCTCGGAAACCCTATACAGGGTCACTATGAGTCGGAACCGACTCCACGGCACATAACCACCACAAGAACGCTCTAGCTACATTTCCACTGGACCCGTAGGCACCATCGCAATAATCCTGGGGGAAATGATACTAATTCTAAAGATGGCATGAGATTAACTTGCTTTAGAACCCATTATTTTACCAAAAGAAATTCATTTTAAAGTGTGTTTGCCCAAGAATAGCCCATAACTTTCTGGGCTTTCATCTGGTTTTTGCCTTCTGGTAGCCCAACCTTGTTGGTAAATGGAAATCACTCCCTTCAAAATGTCATCAATCTTCTACCCTGAGACCAGAGGGACTAGACAGTGCCCAGCTACCACTACTGACCATTTTAACCAGGGTCACAGCAGAGGAACCCTGATGCAATGAGATGAGATTGTGGAACAGAACCTCAAATTCCTAAAAAACCAGACCGACTAACTGGCTGAGACTCGAAGTCTCCCTGAGCCTATTGCCCTGAGACCCTCTTCATACCTTGAACCCAAACTCACCCTTGATATCACCTTGTAGCTAAGCAACACACTGGATCCAAAAATAATGAATTTTGAAAATTAGGAAAAAAAAAAAACCTCAAAGCACTTAATCAACATGTCCCAAATGACAACTCAATACAATGATATTTCTACACTGACCTGCTTTTAGTGGACATCTGTTGTTTGTGCGTGTCCAGCATGCTCCCCTTTTGCTGGTAGCAGCATCCCATTCTGTTTAAGACTACTATTTCATTGGTCTTTGTAGGGGCTGCCAATCAGGGGGCTCTTTCCTCCTCTAGCCAAAGGGTATGAGCACATGACCCAAATTATTTCAATTGGACACTCTTTCTGGAATTACATGCCTACCATACATAATCTCTAGACTAGGAACTGCTTACCGACAAGAACAAGGTCTTATTTATCGCTACATCTCTGAAGCCTAGCACAGGGCCTAGCTATGAATATTCAATGCATGTGGATTGAACGAATTAGAGAGAAAACCACGCAGCTTAAACAAATGCTAAAGTAAGTCTATCATTTTCCAACAAAGTTCTAGAGGGGGAGCAAATTGTAGGATGTTTTGTAAGGGAATTGTCCACTTGAATAGGAAATATGCATCGGAAATAGGATCCAAAGTTGCCATTTCTCCATGTATTAACGATGTCAATCAGTCCAATAAAATAAAGCCCCCCAAAAAGACAAAAGCAGAATTACCTCATTACCTCAACATCTGCTGGAACACACACTGGCTAGATTTTTTTTTTTTTTTTTTAAGGGACATAATATAACTTTCTAGAAAGACATAATATAGCTAATTATACCATTCACTAGAAGGGAACATACAATGTTTTGAAGTAATTCAGAAGTGGGTGTGATTTACAAGGCGTAGAGTCTAGGGAATGGTAAGTATAAATTAGAGATTGTTCATATTATGACAGACTCCGTCATTACATTTCACAACTTTTGTCAAAAGCAACCTTAGTCACCACCCCACGGATGGCTGTCAGAGCTGCCATTCAGAATACGCAGGAACCTTCTTTCTGAACATTCTCCTGAGGAAGGAGTTCAAATTTGAAACCGAAAACTCACTAAAGAAGGAACTAGCTAATGAAACCTAAATGTCCATATCAAGCATGTAAAAATTTCCCCATCTCACTAATAAACGGGACAATACAATTTTTTTTTTTAAAGTATCATTTTTGGCTTATCAGATTGGCATAAATTAAGAAACTTGGCAGGCTGTCAAAAAGAATGAAGACTGCAATTAGCCAAGGATGACCAGTACATGGGGAAACAGGCATTTATGGTGGGGATGTGAGATCACACAGCCATTCTGGGAGACACTGTTGCAGTATCTAGCAAAACGTTCTGTGTATATACCCTCTAATCCAACAATTCTATGACTCCCTCCTGGAGAAAAATAATACTTGTGAAGAACACTGCCTAACTGTGCATTGATTTGTACGGTAAGTTGATTACTGGCTATCTTCTCCACTAGACAGTAAACTTGTTGAGCATGAGGGCTGGGTGTGTGTGGTTAGCCATCTGTGCCTCCTGTGCCTAGCCTGTGTGCCACATTCATGACAGGTTTTTGGTACGTATCTGTCAAAGAAATGAATGTTTATCCAGTGATAAACAGGGAAACAGAATATTTAACCAGTAATGGTTCTTCTCATTCACATTAAATAGGGGTAGTGGAAGTCACACAATGTTAACAAGTAGCAGAAAGTATTGTCCATTTTCAAATATTAGGCATACATGCAATCAGTTTACAAACTGACCGTAACATTGGTATCTATGTTCAATCACCTTGTCTGGTTTTCTACCTCAAATCCCTAGTCCTGAGGTTAGTTCTACCGTCATACAGCAATGAAATACTCTGGAAATAAGTTTCACAGTATATGATCTAATGACAAATGCCCTAGCTCTAAGATGTACAAAACTCACACTGTTAAAAAACAAAACAAAAACCAGTACCTATGGAACCAGGCTTAAAAGAATATGTATCTTTTAAGAAACACAATTTCAAAGTCGAACTGTTCAAACCTTTGGTATGCCCTTAACCAAGGAAATATAAGGGGGCTTCAAAAAGTTCATGGAAAAAATGGAGGCAAAAGATAATGGAACTTTTCAAAGTTCATGGACCTTTATCTTTTAAAAGTATCAGTGCCATGGATCTGTTTGTTTTCCAATATAGCAAAACAGTATAAAGAAAGGGGCAGAACTTGAGACGCCTCCCCTTTTTTCAGCCCTCAATCCAATACAGGAAAGAGAACCTGCTGCAAAATAAAAAAAAATATAAACAATTTGTGGGAGCACTGTTAATGGACGCTTGTAATTATATACAGACTAAAAGGAGGTTACATTTTAAATTTTATTATCTGAAAACTAACCATCCATCACAAGGTCTGGCATCCACTGATAGATATTATCAATAATGAATGCTCCACAACTCTAGAAAATAAATCAAGAGTTTTTTGTTATTGGGGATGGGAGATTCAAAATAAAATACTAACAGAATCCACCCTTCTCTAAAACACTGGAGAAATTCCAAATTCTCCATAAACAGCTTAAGTGATGTTTGTCACTTTATGACTTTAGGCTAAATTGGGATGGGAAGTGGTGGTGTTGGGAATAGCAAAGATACTAACATGTATCCAGTATTTTCTAGATGTCAGATACTGCAGAGGAATGTGTTGGGCCCATTTGATAAATAAGGAAATAGAGGCTTGGGCAGGTTAAGAAATTCCCCTCAGGGCCACACAGTTAGTAAGCAGTCACCTAGGATTTACTGCCAGGAGCATCCACTCCAGAAGACAGGTCAGAGGGCTGAACAGGACCTCAGGGAATCACCTGATTTAACCCAAGCCTTTAAGTCCTGTATTCAAGAGAAAGGTGAAGCTGTGTTTTTCAGTAAAGATTTACAGTCTCAGAAGCCCTGAGGAGCAATTTGACCCCGTTCTACCTGGAAGGGCTCCATGGCAGTGGTGGGTTTAGTCAACTAAGTCTTGATTACCCACAAAAACCACAAAAGGGAAGAAACTCATTCAAGTTCACAGAGCTGGTGGGTTGACCCAAGAGAAGTGAGAACTGGAACAAGACACCAGGATTGGTCACTCAGCAGGGTCCCTTCCACTGTAGGACCCATGTCATAGTCTTACTTCCTAAACCTGGGCAGTTCCTCTCTTCCTTGACCCATGTATTCAAGCCACCCTTGGGTCAGGGGATTCAAATCAATGTGTTAGGCTCCCACTGGATCACTGATCTAGCTTTGTTCACAGTGTAGTAACTGATGAGAGTGATTGACCAAAACAGCTTTTAACTGAGGGCCAATCCCTATCCCGAGAAACCTGGCAATGCCTGGGCTCCGCCCGCCTTTCCCGCGGCCCACCGTCCACCCTGCAGATTCAGGGAGCCAAACACTGGTAGGGTGTTGAACTGCTAAATATGGGAAGAGATCAAACATATTCTGGCTCAAATCTCTGCTTGGCAAGGAAAGGGGAACTATATAAAACGGAATGCAACGCTGTAAAGGCTGCAAGCGCGGCAGTGCTGCAGGCCTCTCCGCACCCACAAATGTGCAGGGTGGGGCCGAGGCCAGGGAGCGGGGCCAGAGGGGCTGCCAGGCCCCCAAGACTGTCTCTCCCGCGTAGAAGGTGGTGCCATGAGCCCACGTCCACGCCGAATCGTTGCCCCTTCCCCACGACCCCCGATCACGCCCTGATGAATCCGCCAACCGTGCTCCCGCTCTGCCCGGTAAACCCAACCCGGCGCCCGCACCTTACTCAGAGCCCTGGGGTTTCCAGCGCGCCGGGCCCGCCCTGGGCCGCGCTCCCGCACCTGGAGCCCCCTACCTTGCTCCTTTAGGCTGGTGATGAGCTGCAGCTGCTTCTCCTCGTCCGAGCTGTTCATGTCGGCGGGTGGGGCCGGGCCGAGAAGAGGAGGGGGTGCAGAGGGGCGCTCAGGGGGCGGGGGAAGGAAGAGCGAGCTGCCGCCGGCGTGCGGCTCCGCCACCCGGAAGTCGGATCGGCTCCCGCTCCTCCTCCTCCCGCCGCGGAGCGCGCGAGTGAGCTCACCCCGCGCACCTTCCCGCGGCCGCGGCGGCACCTGCGGGCGGGTGGGGCGGACGGACGGACAGACCGCGGGGGCGGGGCCCGAGGGGGCGGAGGTCCGAGGGGAGGGCGCCAGGCCGAGGACGCGCCCCACTCTGCGCTCCCCGCGGAGAAGCCGCCCAGAGGGGCAGAGGCGCGAGGGCTGGGGGCCTGCGCGTGGTCGCGGAAGCCCCTACACCCCTTTCTCCGCCTTCCCGCTCCGTAGACACCAAGACGCGCATGCTGACAAAACCGCCTTGGATTCGCAACGTGTCTAGGAACCCCTCATTGATGGCTCCCCACGAACCGCCGCGGTAGTTTGGATAGTGATGGGCAAGGAACACCCAGAAAGCTGCCCGGTTCTTGTAGTGGGTTCCAGGGGCAGTATGGGCATCCTAGATGCCTGCGGGGGCAAGCTCAAGGGTAAACCTTCTGCCCCCTGAGAAGCAGACTAGGACCGAACCAGGCCAGCCCGCCCCAACCTCCTGGCCAGATGAGTGACCAGGAGTGAGTGGCGTTGGGCACGGAATGGCACCTACACACACCCACAGGCCCCCGCGGCCTGTGGATCTCTTGGAGCCATCTACTTCGCAGTGGGAGGAGGGCCTTCCCTCTAGGGAAGCTGCCATTGCAGCCAGGACACCCAAGGCCACACAGCCACCAAGCAGCAGAGCCCAGCAGGTGTCCCATTTCACTTTCCCTGCGTGAAAGACAGGCGGCAGGCCTGACTGTTTCCTCAACCTCATGTACTGGCTACTGTTTGACCAAGTCCCCTGACCTCTTCATCCAAAGCACGTAAATAATAATGCCTGTTTTCAAAAAAGTATAATAAGGGCTAACGGAGTAGAGGAAGATCTATAAAACACTAAATCCAGAACATTACATAAATCAGTGTGTTTGCCATTGTTGTTTTTTTTTTTTTTTTCATGAAGGTTACACACAGCCTTAAGCATCCAAAAATAAATCCAAACTGGATCCGGTTTCCTGCTCAGTTTGGTTTTTTTACTCCCTTTAAGTTTTTACTGTCGCCCTGCCCTAGGCCCATGTCTGTCCTCATGCCTCAATTGCTGCTTCCTGCGCATGCCCTAATTACCTCACCAACCTCTCCATGAATGATGGGGGAATGAGTGAGTTGATATATACATAGGTAAATGCTGCCAATAGGATCTTTCTGGTCTTCTTTGTTAACTGAAAACGAACTTTGAAGAAACAGTAGCACTTCTCTTCTTTACCATGGGTGACTTTGTGGTGGTGGTGGTGGTGATGTGCATCGAGGCTGTTCCAACTCATAGCAACCCAGTAAAGTGTTTCCTAGGCTTTAAAGTTTCGTGGGAGCAGAAAGCCCCATCTTTGTCTGGCAGAGCCGCTGGTGGGCTGGAACTACCGACATTGAAGTTAGCAGTCCAGTGCTTATTTTATCATAAATAAGGAAGGGAAACTTTGTTCATGCTATCTGACTGAAATAGGAGGGTAAGTAAAAAAGCATTGCTAAAAATCATTTTTATTTTTAAAAAATAATCTAAATGCCTTATCTAGGTCTAGATACTTCTGATGGTAGTGTTTCCATCTGTCTAACCCCTCCCTAAAGAAATCTGCATTCTTCATCAGGGCTGTAGGGAGCATGATGTAAGGTTTCCCAACAAAAAAAATTTGAGGGTAGCAAGAATTTTGCTGGGAAACTTTGTGATTTTTGTGGTAGAATGATCTGAAAGGGCAACATCATATTTTTAAATAGAATGAATTAAAATGTTGAAAACTTAAAAAATACACTTGGTGTGTGATTTTATTATTTAATCCTTCCCCTAGTTTTTCATAAGGCAGTTTAGCATATTGTCATTTTTGCTGGGTGTCATCAAGTTGGTTCCAACTCATAACGACAATGTATAGCAGAATGAAACAGTGCCTGCTTTTGCATCATCCTCACCATCACTGTAGTGTTTGAGATCATTGTCATATCCACTGTGTCAGTCCACCTCATTGAGCGTTGGCTCCTGTCTTCACTGACCCTCTACCAAGAGTAAGGGTCATCTCCTAGCATGAGGGACTGGTCCCTCCTGATGACATGCCTAAAGTATACCATGAAAATCTCCAGGAGATAACCAAACAGCCTTTGCACCAGGATTATATCTCCATCCTTATAGTCACATTAGAAGGCACAAGAAATATGAGGCAGTTCAGAGTACGTGAGACCAACAATGATAAACTGCCAGGTATCAGGTCTGAAGCAAAAGGATTTCTTTCCAGGAAAAAGTAAGAGATTGATGGGAAATCATGGCCATTTGGTTTTTGTACAGCAGTCCAGAAATCTCTTAAACAAGATCAGTCACCCTCACTGCTGGGCAATGTTGGGAAGCTCTTTCCAAAACTAATAATCTGGAAGATTTTCTCACAATCAGTTGTAAGCAGAGTGCCATTCCATATTTGGGTTAGTTCACAAAGTTACAATTTTTTTAATGGCTGAATTAATTGTTGACTCCAATTACACAGTAATTAGGTAACACTTTTAGAGTTTAAAAGTGAGTTAGTTAATTATCAAACTATAATCAAACTGAGTGCTTTGTTCCCATACTGAATCCTCAGCCCCTTGAAATTTATCCAGTTTACCCTTCTTGAAATTAAAATAGCCTCCTGAAATACAATATGGTCTTATCTTGAGGGCATGAAATGAATTATTAGGATGGCTATTAGAGTCACTGATTGGGATTCAGATCTCCCATTACACTATGGATTATTTATATGATATGAATATTGATGGAAAGGATAGAAGTGATAGCATTCGGTTTTGTTCTGTCTAATAATGCACATAGGGATTTATGTTGCAGCCATCATATTAGCTTTAATCTTACATCCAAATAACATGTACTCAAAATCCATTAAACTATGTATGTGTATATGTGTGTGTGTGTGTATTTATAAAAGAAAGAAAGACTTTTTAAAAAATGAAGTGGAAGGATATGTACCAAACTCAGGATAACGTCTGCCTCTAGAAATGGAAAGTACAGGAAGAATGAATGGTCCCAAGGATGGCCAGGGTGAGAGGTAAATTAGAAGGATACAGTGGTCAAAAAGGATTTTACCTATTATGCTTGCTTGCATTTTCAGGAAATTAAAGTAAAATTACTTTATTTCTGTAACATATTGAAGTATATAACTAAAAGTGAAAGAAGTTTCATTCTCTTTGATCCACTTAATTCATATTGGGAAACAAGTGCTGGACAGCTAACCACAAGGTCAATGGTTCAATCCCACTAGCCACTCCTCAGAAACCCTATACAGGGTCACTATGTTGGAAATTACTCGACAGCACTGACAACTACAGCATCCTATAAAAAAGACTTTATGTGCAGAGTTATTTATTGTAACATTAATTTTTATATAAAGGCTGATTCTCTGAGTAGGTCAGTAAAATTGGTGAACCTTTAACCATGCTAAGAAAACGGAAAGACATAAGTTATCAATGGAAATGGAACAAAAAAGGAAAAGAAATCATGTCTACTGATCCCATCAGTATTACAAAAATAATAAAAGAACACTACAAACCACTCCATGTCCCATTCATTTGACAGCTTGTTGTTGTTGTTGTTGTTGTTAGGTACTGTGGAGTCAGTTCCAACTCATCACCTCCACACACAGCAGAACAAAACACGGACTGGTCCTGCACCATCCTCAGAATTGTTGAAAAGCTTGAGCCCATTGCTGTTGGCACTGTGCCAATCCCTCTTCCTCTTTTTCATTACCCCTCCACTTTACCAAGCATATTGTCCTTTTCCAGGGACTGGGCCCTCCTGATAACATGCACAAAGTATGACAAACAAAGTCTCACCATCCTGGCTTTTAGGGAACACTCCCAACTGTACTTCTTTTAACATAGACTGACTGTTCTTATGGAAGTCCATGGTACCTTCAATATTCTTCTCCAACACTATACTTCAAATGCATCAATTCTTCTATGATCTTCATTATTCATTGTCCAACTTCTGTATGCAGATGAGGTTATTGAAAATATCATGGCTTGACTAAAGCACACCTTAGTCCTCAAACTAATATCTTTACTCTTGAACACTTTAAAGAGGTCTTGTGTAGCAAATTTGCCTAGTACAAACATCATTTGATTTCTTGGCTATTGCTTGCATGACTGTTGTTTGTAGATCCAAGCAAAATGAAGTCTTTGACAACTTCAATCTTTTCTCCATTTCTCATGATTTTATTTATTGGTTTGGTTGTGAGGATTTTTATTTTCTTTACATTTAAGTGCAGTCAACATTGAAAGCTGTAGTCTTTGATCTTCATCAGTAAATATTTGAAGTCCTCTTCACTTTCAGCAAGCAAGGTTTTATCATCTGCTGACAGATTTGTTGTTGTTGTTATGTGCCGTGGAGTTGGTTCTGACTCACAGTGACCCTGTACAGGGCTTCCGAGGCTATGAATCTCTACGGGAGCAAAAAAAACCTCATCTTTCTCTTGCGGAACAGCTGGTAGCTTCGAACTGGTGACCATGAGATTAGCAGCCGGATTCATAACCCCTACGCTTGTTGTTGTTGTTGTTAAGTGCCGTCGAGTCGGTTCCAACCCATAGCGATCCTGTACAGGGTTTCCGAGGGTGTAAATCTTTACGGGAGTAGAAAGCCTCATCTTTCTCCCGCGGAGAGGCTGGTAGTTTCGAACCGCTGACCTTAAGG